ATATTTAAAGAACTTTCAGAAGTTTTAATTCTGAATATGAGCGAATTTTCCTTCCAATGATTTATTCAGGAAGAAAGAAGCAACCGGTACCTTGTGTTCTTAAATTTTCAGAGTTTGACTGCTGCAGTTCAACACATCAGATGATGAACTTTGCTACGCCGTCGTTAATAAACATAAAGGCGTTTGTTCTCTTTACGGATCGGAGCAGCTGTCCAGCTTCAACTGGATCAGTCATTATGGACTGAAGGCCTCAGATTAATGAATCACCAGTAAAAACTTGGGCTGATATCCAGCATGAATGTTACTGCTGTGATCCATAATAATTTCCTTTGCTTCCATTGCTTCTCTGCTTTAGTTAAAACCTCACTCTCATGTGCTGCATCACCCACCGTCAAAACTCACACAAACAGCAACAAGATGGCTCTAAGCATTGGTTTTGATACAGATATGATAAAATAAGACTAACGGCTCTTTTTCTGCCTTGAAAATATTTCATAGACAAATACCCAGCATTCAGTCTTTAAGCACTTATAGGGAAGTGATTTGCAAAGTAAACCTGACTTGAAACTAGAATTATATGAAAAATTCATCTAAAATTTTAAGTTATTTCATTTAGAGATAAATCACAAAAGAAGATCAGCGTGAACTGCTGTTGGCAGTTTTGATCAGTTTGTAGATTTAAGGTTCAGCTGCGCCACATTGACATCCAGACCTGTTATTTAGCCCACAGCATCACTTATTAATAAATCAATATTCCAAACTCTGCTAAGTGTAAAGAAAGTCACAGTTCTGCAAAGTCAAGGATGAAATGCTTTGTGTTGTTTGCTGTGCTGTTGTCTTATAGCAGGGTTGTCTGTAGCCAGAGTTAGATCAACTCCCCTTAGCAGGATTAGAGTTTGGTATAGAAATGTCATCTTTTATGCTGATTTATCTTTAAATGTGGGGCTACTGTGTTTGGGGTCTGCCTAATGAAAACCAATAGATTGCTTCTAATCATGTGATGTCGGCCAAAGGAAACCTGAAGTAATATATATTATATGTTGTTCTGACATCTTAGTCCTCTGTGAAGACTTCAAAAAACTACAAGCTGGCTGAAATCAGAGACATTGAACGCGTAAAATTTTATAGAAATAAGTCACTTCAGATGTCTGCAACAAACTTAATGTCAGGTCTAAGCACCTAAAACATCATATATACATACAGGGAAATGGAGACTGCGGAGTTTACAATCTCCACCCCACTCTGCAGTCTTCAGCTTTCTCCTCGCTATTTATTGAAGAAAAGGGGATGTCCCTAATTACATCAGCTGAGGTTTAACTAAGGGGAAAGGAAACAAAAGGATCTTACTTTAAACCTCAGCACATATGTTCAAACAAAGCATGTGGTTGTTTTACAATTGAATTGTTCCAAGAACACATGTTTAGAAGAACCATGTGATTGAGGATGTTCAGGCCTCTTTTACAACCCGTTCGTTGCATGACCTTTATCTGGAACGATCTTAAGCAAGAGTTAATAAAAGATGAATCACACATTATACATCATAATAGTTCATTAGAACACAACCCATGAAACACAAACGGAGTATAAATAAAATATTTCTAACACCTAAGGAGTCATGCACAAAAAAAAGCACTTATATGTAATGATATAAATCTGTGTAGTAAGACAACTGTCAAAAAAGGTATGCGTACGTGTTTGAATTTTTACATTCAAGTCAATAATATATTCCATAAATTCAGATTCAGATTGGCAACTTTTCCACTTAAACATACATTAGATGTTTCATCTGTGAGAAAACAAGTTCAGAAGTAATGAATACAAGTTACTAAGGTATAAACATAGCAGCGTTTCTACTAAAAATCACCCATTTTTCAAGTTAGAATCACAAATGTACAAGTTTGCATCTACATCCCCTGATAAAGCTGTTACACTCCACACCAGTGGGGGGCAGTAATGACCGTGAAAGTTGTCTGTATACTGCCTTTAAATGAGAACCATCAATCAAAAATTATACTGTCCACATGATGAAAAACATCTAATGTAACATTTAACAATCCATGGTTCTGTTTTCATCTTCTTGTTTAATGGCGGTTGGTGAAAAAGCTTCAACTGGTTTACTGCCACCAGCTGGTAAGGAGTGTAACAGCTTCACCATGAGTTACTTGTTGGAGAAAAGGACCCAAACAGCATGAAAAAGACTAAGGAAGATGTCAGGAATACAATGTTTGTGGAAATAACCCACAACTAAAACCCAGGGATAGTGGTTCACCTACATCAGGGGTCGGCAACCCAAACTGCTCAAACAGCCATATTGGACCAAAAAACAGATCTGTCTGGAGCCGCAAAAAAGTAAAAGTCTTCTATAAGCCTCGTAAGGCAATATGGGCTCTAAGTGTTTTAGACCACTATAAAAAAGGACTATGTGGGCTTAAATATATAATAATCATTCACGATTAAATATTTATCCTGGAGAAACTGTCATAGCATGAGGTAAGGGAGGAGCAGTGAACGCTCTCACCGCGAGGAATTCACCACACGGTTAGTTTTGTTGCATTGATGAAATTATAGAAACAGGATAAAGGAATCTTTCTATGGTGGACGTGTTTCTGTTGGGAGGAGTTGATTGAGTCATGAGGAACCGAGCAGGAACTGACATCCATCAGAGCAGAGCTCTCTAACCCTGAAATCCCACATCCTGCGTCACCAGCGTTCCTTGGTGTGATTTAGAGTTTTAGGGATTTGGGGGAAAAATAGCAGAAAGTTCCCATTCCTGCATCAGAGTGCTACCTGTTGGATTTATAAATGGTTTTCTATGCTTCCAATCAATCTAGCAGCAGTAGTGGAGTTTGGAGATGCAATCCACTTCTTAAATCTATCTTTGCTCTCCTCTAATTTATCCAGAAGTTCTGCAATATTTAGCATGGCATATTTAGCATGCCTTCCATGAAAATGCCTTACCTAATGACTTTTCTAATTATTTCTCATTCCAAAGCAAACATGTTAAACTTTTGAAAAAGCTCAAGGGGGGCGCTAAAGAGCCGCGGGTTGCCGACCCCTGACTTACAGAGACAGGATGGTGAAAGGTTAGGAGAGAAATACAGGAGGTACCTCTGGATGAGCGTGTTTAGCAAGACTCCACATCCTCTGGTGATGAACTGGATCCAACCAGGAAAGGTTTTATGTTCTAAAACGTGACAGAAATACAGCCTAAAGTAACTGTAGTTGCACCTAAAGGGTGATCCCTAAAGGACTTGAGGGGAAGGAAAATGAACCTCACACAATAAAGATTAGAAACCGTTGAAAATCATCCATCATTAATTAGAAACATCCAGCTGTGGTCCTAAGCCTCTACCTTCCTGGTCTGTTAGGATATAAACCAGTATGAGCCTCATGAGGAGCCGTAGCTGTGATTCTTCTCCCAGTGCAGCATCCTAACCCTCACCAGGCTCTCATTCTGTCCCTCCTTGTCTACAGGCGCCTGCGATCCTCAGAGGCGGCGGTCTGTCCAGGATCTATCAGACGTCGGCACAGAGTCCGGTCAGGTAAGGCAAGCCTATACAACAATCCACTAGCTCCTAACGTCTCATTTATGTGCAGATCCATTTAGTGGTACATTAGGAGAACATGGAGATTTTATGGGCATTCCATGTGTCTTAACTCTCTTTAAACTCCAAAGTCTGAAACCCAGGAGAAGCACAGCTGGGCCATTGGTTTGGATGCTGCTGGATCAATGACCAGCTTCCAGGTGCTTAAAGAAGAAGTCCGGTCATTAAAGATAATCAATGGATCATTATTTATACCTCAAACTAATACGTTTGCAGTGATTTAATGAATTTAGTGTT